CAGGTTCTTGCGGCGCGGGAACGCTGCAGCTATGTGCACTCGTTGCGGGAGGAACTGAATTTGAGAACTAAGACGGAGTGCAGGCACTGCCCCGTGGGCCGTAGGAGGCCAGCTCCGTGGCCCAGAGGAAAAGAGCATCAGGGATTTGTGGCTTTTTAGTCCTTCAGTGGGGTCCTTAATATGCTTCCTGCTGTGATCCCTTCCCAACCCACCTCCTGGTTCAGAGTCCCTTCCCTGTCATGGTGCAGCTCGTAGGCTTGGTGGTAGCAGGGCGTCCTGTACCTCCTTGGTGCAAGGCTGTGTGGGGCACACGCCGTCTGTGGGGTCTGGGGCTCCCTTGTGGAGTCTGGGGCTCCCTTGTGGGGCCTGGGGCTCCCTTGTGAATGTCTGAAAACGCCGTGTCCTGCCTGAGGCGAGGCTTCCTCCCTTGTCAGAAATCTCTGTCCGCGAGGGGCTTGTGGGCACTCGTACGCGCAGAATCAGCGACGGCCTCCACGCTGAGTCGGTCAAGAAAGCAACCGCGTTGTCCAAAGAAGGGGGCATGTCCGTCTGGCACCCTCCACCGCGCTTAGATCTTCCTTAGCCTGTTGCTGTGGAATCTAAAAGCAGGTGGTCTGAAGAGCCTGTTAGAAAAGACTCCTGCTTGTGCACCAGAGCCTGCCTCGAAGTTCAGAGGTGGGCGGGTTCGTCTTCCCCACGTGTGGCGGCCAGTCGCTGTGTCGGGGAGGTGACGTCCCAGGGAGAGGGTGGCTTTGCCATCTTCCATCGGGCTGCTGGGGCTGGTGGCATCTGTAGGTCGCATTACCCACTGCTGGATTCTTCCTTTGGCTTTCTGGGGCCCAGTGTCGGCTGGGCTGCCCTGTGGTCTGTCGGTAACGTCTCAGCCGTCTCTCCAAGAGGCAAGGGGTGCTTTGACGTTTCTTCTGGGGAAGAGATGAGCTACAGAGGCAAGGAGAGAGACGTGGCTGTCCGCACAGACAATGAAATGAGTCCTTCCTAGCCAATAAATCCACGCAACTGGGCCGTTTCTAGGCTGGAGGTTAGCAGTAGAATGACCCGTACGCTCCGTAGCAAGGTGGCTTATTTATTGCAGTGCCCCAGAAGGAGCTTGAAGCTCCACCCTTGAGGGAGCAGCTGGAGAAGTCAAGCGAAGATGAGGGCTTGCGAGTCTGGAAAAGCTCCATGGAGAGACAAGTCCAAGTTGCCAGGTGTCTTCCGACCTCAGGATGGAGTGGGTCGGATCTGGTTGGTCCTCCAGCATCTCGGTGCAATTTGGGTTTTCAATCTCCTCCTTTTGGGGGGGGGTACCAATTACTACGATCCCCTTCCCGGCTGCTTGTTCTGCAGCTGGGCTCTGTGTAGGCCAAGTTAACTCCTCCTGTAACCTTGCCCCAGGGAGACTTGCTAGCTCGCCCAAACTTTTCAGCTGGCGTCAGTTACTTCTCGCCTGTTAGCTACGACCCTGTCCAGTGGAGAGTTACTGATTCCTGTCCCCTTTCTAAGGTCTCCTCATGTCTCCGTGGACACAGCTCTTGTGGCTTCTCTTAGATGAAGCCTCCATCGTCCTGAGTGGGAGCAGAGACTGTCTCTGTATTTGGCCCTGGCCACCCCTCCTGGAATCCAGCTTCCAGTGGTTCGGGGAAGAGCCGTGGGAACGTTTAAAATTAGAAGCAGTGACAGACTGTAGGACTAGCTGAGGCTAGCGAGGGGACCACAGGAGCAGCCTCCTTCACCTCAGTGGGCCCCAAGATTGTCGTGACAGAAATGTCTCCTGGGAGAGGGGAGTTTTGCTCCCTGCGCCAGTGTCGCTAGACTTTGGGGGGGTGCTGGCTGCATGCAGAGGCAGCGCATGGCTCTCCCGGGCATGCAATCAGCCCGCACCTCGCTTTGCTTTATACTGGTGGGGACAGAAGCCAGCAGAACCCCCATGGGCTGCAGGCTGCCCCCCACTTTTCTAGGAGCTCGGTCTATTTGGCTCAATGCAGGGTGGGCAAATACCAGCATGTGGGCTGCATCCAATTTGCCAGGGTTAGCTCCTGGTGGGCCCCCACCACTGGGTACTGGCAATCACAGCTCCCATTGGCCACAGGTTGCTGCTGCTGGCCAATGAGAGCTGCAGAAAGTGATGTCCTGTTCCACACTGGTTCCAGCCGCTCCTATTGGCTGGGAACGGTGATCTACAGCCAATGGGAGCTGCGATCCCTGGTACCTGTGGAGGAGCAGGTACATATAAGGGCGGCAGCCCACCAGGCTAACCCTGCCGAACCGCGGCCGTGTTAGTGCCCAGCCCTGGCTCAACAGAAGGCGAAGGGCTGACTTGCTTCCAATCCAGAAGCGCCCATGTGGGGAGACTGTACTTAGGGACGGACGTGTCCCTCTCGCAGGAGTCCATGCCTGGAAGTTGAAGCGAGGCCGGTGCACGCGGGAAAGGTGTGTGCATTTCCAGCAGTGGGAGCCGTGGGCGGCAGGTCACGTGGACTGAGGGAGGCTGTGCCCCTTGTCCCTGTGTGCTCTGGCTGGGGCCGGGGAGGCTGAGGCTGCCCTCCCTGCACTCCTCTGGGGTTGGGGGCGGTTTCCTGTGACGGGGGAAGGGCCAGGCTTTGGGTGGAAGGGGCGGGCTGGGGGCTAGCCTCCCCCAGTCACAGTTCACGCGTGGCCCCGGGGAGAGCAATGAACTGAAGGGACAATTTACCAGCGGCCACGGTGGATTCTCCATCACCACCCTCTTCTAACCGGGGGCTGGACGTGTTTCTACCAGCTCTGCTCCAGGGATTACCCAGGGCTGGTCTCTGGGGGCCTGTGTGGACTCAGGGCTGCGGGGAGCATCTTCTGGCCTTGGGCTCTTTGGAGCGATTCTAGAGCAGGCAGGTTGGCTGAGCCTCCCGGCCTGAGGGAGGATGCTCCCCTTTTGGGACCGGTTCTGTTCAATATCTTCATCAGTGATTCATATGATAGCATAGACAGGATGCTTATTAAGTTTGCAGATGATACCAAGTGCTTTAGAGGTTTGTCAAGGCTCCTTCCCCATTCTGGCATGATAAATGCAGAAGTGGGGGCCCACAAAAGTACCCCAAAACCTTCTCTTTCCTGGCTTTGGTATAAAACTTCCCACCAAAATCTTAATAACCTAGATTTTGGGGATAAAAACTCTGCTGCCACCACCCAAGTAAGGATAAGAAAATCAGGGGAGAGACCACTTGGGAAATCTCACCCCTAAAGTACAAACCAGGACACACAAATTAACCAATCCCAGGTTAATAAAAAGAAAAGAGAAAGAACGTTTATTATCACCACAATATTCCTGTTGCCAGCATAATGCCGAGATGGTGGAGTCACAGAGTAATATCCTCCTGGGGGAACCCTCCAGGGGCCAGGAGCTTAGTTACAAAGGAGAGCGAAGGCACCGACACAAACCAGAAACCAATAAAAGCGAACGGATTGACCTAACCGTTACCCCACTTACAGATAGTGAAGAGTCTGTTCTTGGAGGAGACGCTCTGTCTGACTCCCTCAGTAGCTGGAGAGAAACTGCCCAGGACAAAGGAGGGAGAAACCAAACGTTCCTTTGTCCCAGTCCGAAATTCCTACATCCATTCCTATTGGCCAACTCTACCTGGGTTAGGTGTTAACCCCTTAGTCCCCAGGCTGCTGGCTAACCCGCATGATCATGACAAGGCTTCCCACCCTCCCTTCACTCCTGTGCCCCAATCCCTACACCCTTTGCCCCTTCCTCTCCTGCACCCCCAGCATCTGCACTGTGCCCCCCTCATCCTGCCCCCTCCTGTGCCACTTACCCTACCCCATACTCGCCCTCAGCCTAGGGCCAGGAGGAGGGGGAAGGGTTTGATGCGGGGGGCTACTTGCCGGAGTGCTGGCAGACAAGATAGTGGAGCTCCAGCTCGGTTGGCCACTCCCTTGGTGGAATGGCTGCCTCCAGTGGCCACTCTGTGGGATAACTCTCCCCTGCAGGCCCCAATGGCTGCTCTCCTCTCGCCTCCCTCCGAACAGCAGCCCCTCCCTTTGCATGGCATGGAAACCAGTCCTTTCCCGGGGCTTCCAGGTGTCCTGGCACAACCAAGCCCTGAAATTGCTTTATGTTAGGAGACGAGGAAGTTGCCGACTGAATTTGGTGGGCCTGGCTCTTAGCGTTTAGGAGTTAAGACGCGCAGACACACGCAGACAGACAGACAGACAGACTCTAAAATGTAGAGAGATGATAGATTCTCCCCCCCCCACACACACATTTTCTCAGGCCACTTCAAGCCCTGCCTCATTATGCCACTTAGCTGGCCGGTTCTGAGACTGTAGCCCTGTTTTCTCTCTCTCTTCCCACCCTGTGACGACATGTCGGGGTTCCTCCGATCCTGCCGCCCCGTAGCAGCAAGAAGAGACTCCGCCAGGCAGTAGAACAGAGCGGGGTTATTGTTCCTTCAGGATACGGCCCAGCACAGACATGATGTGTCTACGGGAGTCTGGGCCAGGATGCCTCAGACCCCTTGAGATGGGTCCATGGGCCCCTAGATTCCAGCCCCTCCTTAGGCTGGTTCCTTCATGATTCCAGCCCCAGACTGACCCTTCCCCCAACACTCACTTCCTAGTTCCCTCGCTGCCCTCAACCGGTCAGACTGGTTGGGTCTAAGGGAGCCTACCTGCTGGGCAGTGCGCCAGACACCGGCCAGTAGGGGTCACCCGCAGCCCAAGCGTAGCGACCAGCAAGGTGCTGACACTACATCACACACCCCCGAGTCAAATTCTGCCCTCTCTTGCCCTAGTATGACCCGGTCAGGAGAGCAGGGAGCCTTGACAGGCCCTGGTTGGGTCCGTGACTTTCCCTTGCCTGTGCTCTGATTGCATCTCGCCCTAACGTGCTGCTTTTCCCTTGTTTCAGGGCCACGTAAGGATGCGTCACCCGCTGGTGGAGATCTCAGCTCACGCGTGTCCGAAAAGCTCCCCCTCCCTGCCTCACCCCTGCTGGCTTCAAACCGGATTCCTCCCACGTGATGGCCCAGGCTGGGGGCGTCGTGCGCTTCCGCCCCGAGGGAGACTGCGCCGTGTCGCCCCCGGGGCTCGCCCCCCCCCCGGATCGGAGGCCCTGGCTGCCCCCCGCCAAGAGCCTGGAGTCTGCTTGCAGCCCGCAGCGCTGCCTCGTGCCCAACCTCAGCCCGGGCCGGATCCAGCTACTGCGCAAGAGCCTGGCCCCCGAGGCCCAGCGGTGCCTGTATAACAGCACCGGCTCCCTGAG